ATCACATGTTTCACAACATAAAAAAGATCAACAGTCGATTTTGTCACAAAGTGATAAAATGAGTGTCCATTATGCTTTTCGGAATAAGGTTCGTCGATGGCATAAAAATGGCGAAAGACCCATACGAAGATTACCAAAAACTCGTCAAAAGGTAATGGCATGGGGTGGCATTTCTCAAAGCGGAAAAACACCCTTGTTTTGCTTTACAAATATTATGGATGGGCCATTTTATGTAAACATATTACAGACTCAGCTTCTGCCTACTGCACAAAACATGTATGGAATGAATTGGCGTCTGCAACAAGACAATGACCCTAAGCACACGTCACATGTCGCTAAAGAATTCATTACCGAAAACTCTATCCATGCAATTGATTGGCCATCTAATAGTCCGGACCTCAACCCTATTGAAAACATGTGGCAGAATAATGTCGAAAAACGAATGCCAAAAAATATTGATCAATTAATTCAATTTATGACTGAAGAATGGGAGGCGATCCCTCAGGATATTGTGAATAATTTGGTATTATCCATGAAACATAGATGTGAATCGATTTTGGAGAAAAATGGTGATAGAATTTCATATTGAAATTTTTATATTTAATAAAGCAGCTTATAAGCTTTTGAATAAACCTAAATTTATTTATTTATTTTTCATAATTGTTAAAGTATGCAGTTTTTTGTCACTGCCGTTTTTTTCTTAACACACTGTATATATATATTAATTATATATATATTTTTTAATAATATATTTTATTATATATATATTTCAAAAAAATTAAGAATTATTATTATATGTGAATTTTTTCATTAAGGCATTTTTTATGATTTATCATTAAGTTTATGTTTAAGAATATTAATTAGAACATTTAAATTTTATTATGAGTGGGAATAATCAATTTATAGATTTGACTGTAGGTGATGAAAATAATAATAATGATATTAATGAACAAAATAATGGCATTGATGACTTGGGTACATCAGATGTTTGGATTTTCTTTAATAAAATTAACAATGGCAAGGCTCAATGTAAAACATGCAAAAGCATCTTTAGTAATAAGTCATCCACAACAACTTTGAGATGACATATTACAAACTTACATACAGGTTATTATGAAAAAATGAAACAGACCACTTTGAGACTTAATCGAGTTATACCATATTCAACAACTTCTCAAGAATATAAACTAATTACTGATAAACTGGTTAATTGGATTGCCATGGATACCTTACCATTTACTATTGTAGAAAGTCCAGCATTTCATGAATTTATATCATCTTTGAATGAAAAGTATGCTATTCCTTCTTGATTAAGTGTCAAAAATATTATTGTCACAAAATTTAATAGGGCCAGAATTCAAATAAAACAACAATTTGAAAAATTTGACTCAAAAGTTTCTTTTACCACCGACATTTGGAGCAATTTATCCAATGAGGCATTTATTGGTATAACTGTTCATTATATAGACAATAATTGGAATATGAGAAACTTTGTTTTAGATATTATCCAAATACAAGAGCAACATACTGGGATAAATATTGCTAATAAGATATTAGATATTATTGAAGAGTTTAATTTATGTACTAAAACATTAGCAATAACCAGTGACAATGCCTCCAATATGATTAAAGGTTGCAAAGATTTTGGAGAAATTTTGGAAGACACTTTTTATAATTATAATTTTATTCATCAGCGTTGCGCTGCACATGTTATCAATATAGCAGTTAAACATGGGATGGAGTTAATTTTTTATGAATTATCAAAGCTTAAAAATTACATAAAAAAAGTCAAAAATTCTGTTTTGTTATGTGATGAATTAAGAAAAATATCTCAAGCTAAAAATGTGAAGTATTTGGCTCCTATTTTAGACTGTCCTACACGTTGGAATTCGACCTATCTTATGCTGGAAAGACAAATAGAAACAAAGGAAATCAACCAACGACTTGTCAGGAACAATCCTAGTAGTATTGAATTAGAATATTTGACTGAAAATGATTGGAAACAAATTGATGACTTGTGTGTTATTTTAAAACCATTATACATTGCAACCAAATTTTTATCATCAAGTTCACCCACTTTAAATGATGTGCGCATTACTTTTACTGCATTAATTAAAGTATTGAAAAAGGTAATTGATGGCAACAATGAACATTATTTAATTGCAGATTCAGTTAATCATACAGTCCCCGGCGAAAAGAATGGCGGACGCATTTTTTAAAGGTATGTAAAATTTTCATTATTAATTTAATATTATTTTTTTATTATTTAAAGTATGATACTAACACAACATTTTTTATTATA